GTTTTTTATTGCTTTATGGGAACACGGTATGATTTAAAAAATTATAAGACTTTAGCAGCTTCGTCTACGCTGTCAAAGCGATGGGAAAAAGTTCAAAAAGTAAGTTTTATGATGACCGAAATGCCACAAAAATATCTCAATCAAGAGTTAGTACAAATAATTCAACTGTGGGAAACGAGGCGATTTAGGACAAAATTTCAACTGTTATTCAAGTTATCTTATATGTTACCAATGTAACTGTAAGTTCAAAGGTCATAAATTTCGAGCGAGTACCGTAAATGTTTTCATCTATTAAAACTCTAGAATTGAAACTGAAGCAGATGACTATTACAGTTATTCTTCCCTGTCTCGTTAAATATTTCTCTTGTTTCTTAAAAAGAAACATGAAAAGAGCACTTACACGAGACACGAAAATCGAAATTTTCTCTAAAAGTAAGAAGAAATTCTCCAGAAAGCCTGTGGAAGAGAAATTATCTAGTGGCTAATTTTAGCCAATGTTGATTGCATCATGTCAACCGGGAGGAGGGGGGGGGGGGGGGGGGGGTAGAAACTCCTTATAAATGGTTTGCATAATTACGGACATAGCGGTGCCGGGAAACCGAGTGTGCGCAGTAGCACTCGACTAGTTGCTAAGAGGATTGTCCCGCGGGAACTTATTAACAATAAAAAAGCTTGTCAGGCAAGAAATTCACACCTAAAATTAGTATGCATGATAACAAAAAGGTGTTTTTCCTTGGTGCATGTTGTCGCTTCGCCTCGTGTATTACGATAAACATTTTCATCCGACTTCGCCTCCCGTTCCAGTAGTAGCACTACTGACCGTATCCGAAAGACCCGCACTGTAGCATGTTTGTGCAGCTCAGACGAATTTTTCGCTTGTTGTTTCACGCTGCCGAGATATTTTCTCCTCGGCGGCGTGAAAGATCAGGCCAAAAATCCGGCAGCGCTGTTTTTGCAGGCTACACGCGTACAGCTCTACGCTGCGAGCTTGAAAAAGTTTCCCGGGTTAGAAAACAATGAAGTTTTGGTTGACGTCATTTTTAGCAATGGCTTGATTGACACATGATTCGCACTGTTGGTCTGTTGCCCGGCACCGCTATGTCCTCAAAGAAAAGTCCCGGCTTTCATACATGCATGCATACATGCCATACATGCATGCATACATGCATACATGCATACATGCATGCATACATGCCATACAACATGCTGCCACATACTGCAACAGGGTGAGTAACCAAACGTTTGCAACATGTTGTGCGCAACAATGTTGCGTTGAAATGTTGCGTGCGTTTGACCAGACCTTTAAAACATAACGAGTTAAATATTATTTTTGTTAATGATATATTCATGAGATTTTTGTAGCATGTTTACTTTACAGGACGCTTGACTCAACAACGTGCCATGACTGCAAGGATACACATTTGCATTTCGCACCCGAAATGTGGGACCGGAGGTGCCATCCCTTTTGTAGTGGAACTTCTTGTTTAAGTACCATGGATCACTAGCTACAAATAAAAACAACGATTTTTCAGGGACAAAAACTTTAATATTATTTTTTTTTCCAGGGGATATAAGGATGCATTTTGTCGTGCCAGTTAAAGCCACATCATCTGACTGGGTTACAGTTTTCGTAAACGATTAAAGGAGTTTTTGGCTTTAAAAAAATGACAGTAAGAAGGTCAGTTTTAAATCAATCCTGTTGTGAATTCCAGATTGTGTTCCTTTCTGCATGAGAGTACAAAATAACATAAGAAATCCAATGTCTTGATTCAACGGCAAATCTATAAATGAAATGAAAGGAAATTATCATCAGCAAAACTGAATTATTAATATTATTATTAGAAGTTATTATTACCATTAAAGGGAGTGTTTCACGGTTCGGCGCACGTTCAGGCTTATCAACTTTATCCGTCTAAAAATCCCCACTCACATGTACTTCTCGATACTTCAATAATCACATATTATAATTAGTCAAAGCAAAGCGACGAATGACCAAACTATCGACAACAAATTTCAAAGGATTACATCGAAAATGTTAACATTGAATACCAGAATAGATTACCAGAATAAAGTGTTGGCCCGAAGGATTTATTCTGGTAATTTATTCTGGTATTCAAATGTCGACATTCTCGGTGAAATTCGTTGAATTGAAATTTTTTATGAATTTTGATCAGTCGTCGTTTTTCTTGGACAAATTATAGTATGTGATTACAGAAATACATGTGAGTGGTTTTTATGTTGTGTAACGCAATATATTGCGTGACACAATATAATCGTATGGGTAGTTTTTGTCATGGATCACTCGATCACTCGACTTTTTTTCGGCTATGATGTTATATTTTAAAGAAACGTATGGAAAATTGAAGTACGAGATTTTGCTTCTAACAATGCTTCAAATACTACTGTAACAGCGCAAGGTATATATTTTTTTATTTTGTGTCGCGGCTTCCCTTATGGTACACTACAAGCTACTTGTGAAAAAGACGCATGCGTGTAGCTCCCAAATTCGGAATATAATCACTAAAAGTTATATTTATTGACCTGACGTGACTTGCCCCAAATCAGGACATTTTTGGAAAAGACACTGAATTTTCCAAAACAGAATGTTACGACTTGAAACTGATGCAAATACATGTATGTTGAAAAAGCGTGAAATTTACCGGGGCCTTCGTGACGTCTGGAGCCACAAGTTCATTTTCATAAATAAACATTTACAGTCAAACATTTAAAATTATTTTAGTGCGGGTACCGCTATGTGTTCTGTTTCAGCAACATTTGTTCAGCTGGGATTCTGGTATTTTTGCGCCTCCTTCATGAGATAAATTCGAAATACAAATAATACTTTTCTGAATGAATAGCAGATACTTTACAACAGTCTTGCCACAATGTTTATACAAATAAAGTGGATACAAAATTTATATCTGCAAAGTGCGAAAATCGTTACACAACATGGTGGCCTAAAGGGGGCCTCTCGTTTTTTAACGGATAACGTTAATAAGCCGGCGCATGCGCCGAACCGTGAAACACTCCCTTTAATTAGATTAGAAGTATTGCTACTCCCCCTAGATAGGATGCTAGCCCGATACTTCATTCCAATCTGCGACTTCCTGTATGTCTGTTGAGGTGATTTATGATATACCATTTGTACGCCAAACATACCTTTCAAAATGGTATATTATTAAACATTTTGTGGTCTTTGGATCTATAATAGTTACCATTTTAGAAAAAAGTAGGTATTCCTGGTAGGAGTGAAAGGGTTAATCAATGTTGCCAGGATTTCTCCTTTAAAGGAGACTCATATGTTGACATTGAATAACCCTTTCACTCTGTCATTTAAAAAAAAACAAAATACATGACTTTTTGTCAGAAAATAAGTCAAGTCATGGATTTTTTACAACATGAAAAGGAGATCATAATCAGAGAAACTGAATTATTTTCACCAGAATCTGAACCCTTTCAATAAGAGACGTGAGCTCAACATATTAATTCTGCTTATTATTATTTCATGGAGAAGTAGTGCCCTAATTATTAATGGTTAGCGCGCTGGAATCGATGAATGATCCAGGTTCGAGCTTAGCCTGTTCGGAATTTTTACTTCGCGCTCCAACAAGACCGCCAGCTATGCAGGCTAGTTCGAGCTCTGGCCAGAATCACTGTGTTGTGTTCTTGGGCAAGACTCTTCACTCCGGTTCACAGTGCCTCTCTCCACTCAGGAGTAGAAATGGGTACTGCAATAATTATTGCTAAAGAAACCTAACAAAAATGCTGATGGGTAACTTGCAATGGGCTAACATCCCATCCCCGGGAGTAGCAATATTCCTAGGTAGTCCCTTCATGCTACAGAAATCAGAGAAAAGCGCTGACACCAATGAGCCCCCTGGCTCCTCCCCCTTGGCTCCTCCTAGCATTAATGTTGTTAAGAACCCGGGAAGGGGGGGGGGGGGGGGGGGGTGGACTTCGATATAAAAGTGACGGGGGTGATTGTTGTACCTTATATTAAAGCATATTTGTGTTCTTGAAATTGGCTGTCAAGCGTCTCCAGAGCTCTTACGCGGACCACATCCATTGTCGAAGAGGGTTTCATGTTTCAGAGCCAAGAGTTTTATTTGATGGATCTGTCAACACGTCATGCTCTGGGAAATTCTACACCGACTGCAAACACTCTCAGCACAGTATCGCATCTCTATTTTGCCGCGAAATTGCTCCTTAGAAACAAATCTTCTATCGCTTGTATTTCGTGAATGCAAAAATCGATGCAATTAAAAAAAGTCATTTCAGCCTCCAGGACTACCTTAAACATTGTGGTTTGGTACTGCTTAGGGTGTTCAAATCTAAAATGACCACTGTTAGAGTTATCCTGGTACCTTTTAGGGTATTAATGGGATAGGAACTGTTTTGTCTTTGATTGGTACATGTACCTTTTAGGGATGAAAATGAATTCGAGCCACACCCACCAAGCGAGATTCTGATACCTTTTAGGGGTTCATTTAAAAAATTCTGATGATCACCCCTGTCACTTTTATATGTTAAGAGCTTTATGAAGCATGAAAATACATGTATTTCAAGTACAAGCAGCAAGCTAAGGATGCATACCTTGAGTTCTTAGAAACTCGACTCTCCATCCCAGAGGATCTGAGTTCAAAATAAAGGAAGGCAATAATATTGGTTTCAGAACTTAAAACACAATTTTAGTATTCAATAGTACTATAGATATTGGAAAGAACTGATTGCCATTGTTTTAGTCAAGGAAAGTTAAAACTTTAATGTCTGTCTACAAGTCGAGTGTTTTTTTCTGGCCAGCGCTTAACGCCGGTTTCCACAGCATGAAGCGACTAGGACTAAGGAGTAATCACTATTCCTGTGGATGTGATGCTAGTCCATTATAGGTCACCCCCAGCATTTTGTCAGGTTGCACTAACAGTTCACCGGTACCCATTTATACTCCTGGCTGGAGAATGGCAATGTGAGAGTTAAGTATCTTGTCCAAGAACACAACACAATGACCCCGGCTACTGGCTCGAACCCAGACCACTCAATCCAGAGTCCACAGCTCTAACCATTAGGCCACCATGTCTCCCACACATGTCCTGAGCTTTGTTTCAAAACTACTTGTCCAAGTATAGACACCTATAAAGGTAAGGCAGACACACTTTGGCCAAACTGGCCCACAGTCTGCAAGAGCTTTGTTTCAAAGCTACTTGTCCAAGTATAGACACCTATAAAGGTATGGCAGACACACTTTGGCCAAACTGGCCCACAGTGTCTGCAAGAGCTTATCCTGGTTTCTGTAGCATAATACAACAAAATGCACTTTTCAGAGCCTTAAATCTCAATTTTTTTCTGTGCGAGGCCCCAAATACCCCCCCCCCCCCTACCCTTGCGCATTTACTACTGCCGCCTACTTCCAAAACTTTTCCTTCGATCTTTTTCACATTTTCGGGAAAACCCTGAGACCTCCCTATCAAAAAATTCATTATTCAATGTTAGTCTTACCTCATTCTCAACCATTGATTGCTGTTCTTCAGCTGATGTTGGAGGCTCATTTCTCAACATTGCTCTCCCACGTTCGTACTCGCTGCAATATAATTACACATGTACATAAATTATAAAGAAAAAGGAAAAAGGGCGGTTTGACAAAAGGCCCTTCAAATGTCTGTTTGGTGATCGAAGCAGGATATGAGTGGCTGGACCAGCTAGGGGACAACGCCCTCAAATACATAGATATACATTAGAGGCCTGACCATGACACAGGGAACTTCGTGCCCTGCTCTTTTCGAGCAGTGTCGTAGGTTCTTTTCTTTTACGTCCCCTTTGAATTGACGTGTAGTATGAAGGAGACTAGGACAACGGCTAAATGTTACCACCCAATGAGATGATCACCTGAACTGAGACAAGGTGTTCAACACGGCCAGCATGATCTTACCATTCAAGACCTTGCTTTGTGGTCCGGTTGGGACTTGAACCAGTGACTTCCTGCTCTGCAGTCCACCACTCTACCCACTAATATATCCCTATTATCTATATTTAATAACACCCCCCCCCCCCCCCCTAAAAAACATGAAAAAAATGATCAGTTACCTATTCTCGCGGATAAGCTTATCAAGAACTTCCTCGTAGTATTTCATGGGTCCACCAGGTGCCATCTGTGCAACCATCATCTATCAATCAAGAAAAAAAAACTTACATTATATGTATTGGTAACTGAATAATAGTCTGTGGAACGTCTACTTTGGAACACATCCATTAAGGGGAAACCTCCATTAAGGACAATCTTATAAAATTTCTAACTAAACGCGCACCAGTACAATGTACTGTATTTCCTCATATAATAGCTGTCCCTCAATTAATCAACCCTTAACCCCCCTTGAAATAATCACTTCCCACAAATAATGATACCCTACTTGCCTGCCTTGCATAATGCCTCCCCTCCCCTCACTTCCTCTCCCTTTGTTTTACTTCCCTTTTATTTTTCTTTGTACAGAAGGTATAAATTGCTGTAGTTCACCATAAGTCCATTTGCTATCTGCAATGCAGTGTATTTAAAAATTCACTTCCCTCAATTAATCCAGCCCCCCTCAAATCATTGCCGCCAATTTGGTCCCTGTAATTGGGCCCCGTTTTTGGAGTCTTTAAGTCAAAAGTGTATTATTTATTACAGTATTACTATTTGTAATAACAATAAACAAGACACTAACGTCCTCAACAACAGCAGGCGGTATTTCATACTTCCTCCTCTCACTATCTACAATGACATCTTTCGCCACTTCGATCTCTTCTAAAAGTGAAGGCCTCCTTGACTTGCACACGAACTGCTCCTTAATCGTGCGGCACTTCTCCTTTGACCGTTCCACACTCTCTTTGTAATCCCATGTTGGCACTATCACCGAACAAGCACTTTGCAACGCATCCTCAAAAGATATTCGCCGTTCATCAGTCAATGATCCAGGGGCTGACCTACAGCATTTAATCACACGACGCCGTTCAGAAGCCTTCTTCTCAAATTGTTTGTTCCTGGCGTGGCCATCAAGAACCGTTTTGGCAATTGTTATGCTGTCAGAAAGTGAGTTTCGCCTCTGGTAAGTTTGACGTTTAATAATTCGTCTTCTTTCAACATTCTGTGAATCTCTGTTCTTATCCTCAGCAAGAACCTGTGCCATGGATCGTTCACCGCTCTGGTCTGGGCTGCTCTTGGCTTTAGCAGTCTGACTATGTGACACTTTGCCAAAGCGGGGCTGTCCACTAGCCACAGGTCTATTAGGTGTGGTACCTGAATGTTCAACAACTGTTAAAAAACAAACAGAGAAAAAATAAAAAAATTAACCCTTTCACTCCCAAAGTCAAATAAATGAGTTAATAAATGTTGTTGTAAATTTATAGGTGAAACCCTATAGTGTGGCATCCCAATGAAAGCAATTGAACAATATTTTCACGTGGTACTGTTCATTATGCTGTACAAGGTGGTTCTAACTTTTAAGTCTGTGGATGAAACCCTAGTGTGTGACCATTCAAATGAAAAATATTGAGCAGTACTTTCATGTGGTGCCGTTTGTTTTTGACAATTTTGCAAAATGAAATAATTCAAGTTTTGAAAGTAGCACTCCTGGGAGTCAAGGGGTTGAAAAATGTATGTGCATCACCTGCACACATCCAAGGATTGAGCCCAGGTCACTGCCATAAGGAGCAGGAAAATAACACAAAATATAATTAGTAGTGCAAACTCAAAATTCTAGGAACACTATTTCTGAAGAAATTGAGATAAGTCATCTATGAAATGACTGCAAGTTCCTCATAACTGTTTACATTTATACCTGAAACTTTGATTAACAGTAACATACTGTTGTTGAAAGCCTGATTACAGAACCAAATAATAATAATAATTATTATTACTGTTTTAATTTTATCTAACCGAAAGACGGAGCGCTTCCAAAAAGCCCAAAAGGACTGACGTCCCTTAATTTGAGCGAATTGATCGGATATCGAATTCGAGCGCACAAACAAAAATACTGCATTATATCAATCACAAGGTGTTAATCTTCAAAACCGTGCGAGGCTTTCAGGATTGTGCTATTGGTTGCTTTGCAGTTTTTCTGTCAAGTTTGCTTATCAAACATTTACTGATACGTGTTACGATGAAGGCCATTGCGGGAGATCAATTTTGAAAAACGGAAATCCCTCACAGGGTATTTTTGTTTGATGTCTTGGAAATCTTCGGGCCAAATTTCAAGGCAATCCGTCAAATTCTCATACCCTATCAAATAACAGCTGCGAAGGAGACTACCACACAAACCCACCCTGCACAAACCTGGATACCAATCACACTGAACATATTTCAGTAAAGAGAGCACAAAAAATGTTTAATTAAGTATTTTATAAGGATAAAATAGTGTAAAATAAGACTTGAATAAAATAATAAGGGGAAGGGGTGGTTGCAATTATTTTCAGGTCGGGTAAGCTCACGTTACCATTTTTTTTTACAGGGATTTTGACCTGAGACCCTCTCTTATCTGGGACACTGCCAGTGTTTTCATTGCATAATGTGAAAATGACTAAACTTTGTGTACCTGGAGCTTGATATGCTGCTTCATAAGGTGTTGAGGTGGGTTCCTGCTGAGTGGGAAGGTAGTAAGCAATATATCCACTCTCTGAAGGATAATAACATGGATCAACTCTAACACTTGTAAGCTCGTCATCCTCGTACTTTCCAGATTCCGCATCCTTGTTGTCCATACGTCTGAGTAAATGTGCATAATACTTCCTGATTGGCCTACATGATATAAAACACATAAAAACAGCGTTGGAAGTCTTGGATCCTGCAGCATCCTGCAGCATGCATGCATGCATGCAGCACTTCATTGCGGCCTCCTAGCATCTGTTTTATATGGTTTAAAACCATTATTTAGTAGTTTCATAATCTATTTTAAGGGTAGTTTCTGTGTAGTTCAAAATTGCGGCAAAATAGTGTGACATAGCCCCTTTAAGTAAAAAGGTAAGGCTGCACTTAGGCTTAACTGGCCCAATGCTGTAGCTTATCTTAGATTCCATAGCATGAAGCAGGCTAAGTGTATTGCTTTTCCCCCTGGATGGGATGCTAGTCCATCACAGGCTACCATCGGCATTTTGTCAGGTTTCCCTAACAGTTCACTGGTACCCATTTATACTGCTGGGTGGAGAGAGGCACTGCGGACGTTGAATGTCTTGCCCAAGAAAACAACACAATGACCACTGCCTGTATAAAGTGATGAGTCACAACTTCCTTTTTACATTACACAAAAACTAATAAATATCTCACGCACGAAATTACACATTGTTACTCATGTCATGAATATCCTCAATATCACAGGTTCTGATCAAGAAAGTAAGACATCGGAAATATAGTACTTATATAAGGTTTACTTTAAATATTTATTTACTTTTAATTGACAAATTACAACCTTACTTACAGAAAACTATTAAATTATCAACTATAGACTACTTATAATACACATCTGCAATAATACTAAACATTAACATTGAGTTGAGAAATATTGAAATTATGTCGGTGGGGCACAGGTATACCTCAACTTTTTGAATACATTTCAGGTAGCTCTGGACCCTATCGACATAATTTTTCAACGTCTAGAAAAGTAGGTAAGAAATAATATTAAAGTTGACTTCAATAACTAATAACAAAGGGCTACTTATAATACACATCTGCAATAATACTACTTAATTGACATATACTTTTTAACAGAAAATTTAAATACCCAAATAAACATTAACATTGAGTTGAGAAATATTGAAATTATGTCGGTTGGGGACAGGTGCACCTCAAATTTTTGAATAAATTTCAGGTAGCTCTGGACCCTATCGACAGAATTTTTCAACGCCTAGATAAGTGGGTAAGAAATAATACTAAAGTTGACTTCAATAACTAATATAACCAAAACTAGCAAAATCCTCGAATCTGATTGGTTATCAGCAGGCCCGATTTGAGCATTAATTGGACAGTTTACGCGTCATGTCTGGTGTTATTGGACAGTACACATCATTTGTGAGTGCTGTAATTAAGGACAGTTGCACTTGAATGGGTTCCTT